ATATGAAAACAGTTTGAGCTGGATGATCAATGGGGAAAGACAGAGTTTTTGTTTAAATGTCATGTGTAGTCTTAATTTTTCAGCGACTCACAACCTCCAAAAAAAAAAAACTCTTAAAAATGGAGGGCGGAGCAACCATGCGTTAGTTCCCGAAGGGAGCAGGAAGCGTCCTCAATTCAAACAATTCCCTTTATCACCATTGAGATATAAAACAGCAAAGTACCCATAAAAATGTTATTCACTCTGAGCCGTTGTTTTGTTGTATGTTTGCTGTTTTAATGGAAAGAAGTGGAATTAAATATAACAAATCTATTTAAAACAAATCTGGGGTGCAAAGATTCTGTAGCTTCAGTGTCTTTTAATCATTTAGCATTTTCTGGCTTATCAGCTACGAAAAGCATCCAAGTGAAAGTGTATTTTTCGGTGAGAACGTTTGTCTACGTAGTCGTGGAGTAATTGATGGTGACTACTGAACCACTCAGTAGAAGTAGAAGCACTTCTCTCGTGCTGTGGAAGGTCGTCTTTGACTCTGCTAACGCTTTGCACACATCTGGTGTCTCTGACCTTGGTGCTCCAGACAGCGGATAAAGACTCCCTGTCACCACCAAAGTAAATGTGCAAAATAAAACTTTTTAGAATAACAAATACTTAGAGAACAATCCTCGACCCATTTGTCCAAGTGTCCATTTGGTTCATGCACCTTTTTATATCAGGGTGTTGCACATCAAACTGTATCCATGCACCAGGACTACCTGAAAACATTCTATTCATCCTTGTGAGGTTTTGTGCTGAGTCACAAATCCCAGCTGAGAACCACATCTGGAATCAAGTGTATCTGAGCTTCCGGGAAACTTGCTGATTGTCCAGAGAAAGCTGCAAAACGCATCCTACTCCCCAGTAGACTGTAGGGTTCTAGCTTGCATGCTAACGCGCTAAACTAAGATGGTGAACCTGCTGAACATCAGCATTATTGTTGCAAACAGGTCAGCAGTCACCAGGCTGCTTCTTGTGTTCATGCTAAATTCCACTAGTCAGCAGCGTCGTGACATTAACATTTATCTGCTCTTCTCACCCTGAGAGAGAAGTCATTTCATATTTTGAATGCTGCGATCGCTCCAGTTCTGCCCTCTCCCCTCGACGAAGGCCTCAGAGGGTCCATTGTCCTTCTCTGGTGTCCCCCCCCTTTTCTCTCTAATCAAATCGCCTCCGTCAGGAAATGCCAGCAAATTACAGCCTCTATTGGTATCTGATGGCCTGTGACCTCTGTGGGAGGCGATGGGTTTGGGTTGGGACAGTAAAGGGTTAGACAGGGAGTCGCAGCATTAAGACCGTGTCACGGACCAGAGCCAGCGCACATGTCCTATCTGGGTTATTAGCCCAGTACACACACACACACACACACACACTACAAGCAGAGTCAGTAATGCCTCACAATCGAAACTGGCACAGTAGAATAATCACATAAGCTCTCACATGATCACACACACGCCAAAACCAATACACCGATATAATCGCACAGTGTTGCATAGTCGTTTGGTCACACACACACACACACACACACTCTAACGTTTAATCTGGCCTCCGCAGGCGGGATGGGAGCTGCATACGACCTGCTAATTAGTGGCTGGAGGAGGCCTCTGTTTGTGCGCCCTCTTCCTGTCCGGCTGAGACACAAGTCTCTCTGTGTCCTATCTCTGCCCCGAAAGATAGAGAGAGCCGGGGAGGGAGGGAGAGAGGGTGGAGGGAGGGAAACGGAGCGCTGAGTGCGTTTGTTGGTCGGAGGGTCGACCGCTCACATCCAGCGGCGTGAAGACTTTTCTCCCACTTCAAAAAGTCGTCCCGAGCCCTGGAGGAGCGAGCGGGAAGGAGAGGTGAGATGCGTCAAAATGTCAGGTGGCTCCACCAGATTGAATTCAACTGGTGTCTTATTCCTCTCTGTATTTGCTGTGTGTGCGTGTGTGTGTGTGTGTGTGTGTGTGTGTGTGTGTGTGTGTGTGTGTGAGAGAGGAAATCCTGCACTCCCTCACCCGTCTTCCCCTTCCCTCTGCCTGCTTGATTTCCTAACACGCAGTTGAGTTTGATCGGCGCACCCTTTGATCCGCCCGTGTTCCCGGCGGCCTTTGGGCTTTTGTTTGCTTTTGTCCTTCGGGGGGGGGGTCGCTCTTTGTCATAATGTTGGAAATTAATGTTGGAAAGTAACGGGACGAACGACGGATGATGTAGAAGTGAAGGGATAAGAGGCCGGGAGGAGCAGACGGAGCACGTGGTGCGGCGGTTTGATTTCGATCCCACAGCTTTCTTTCATCCGCAGAATCGGAGCTGCTGTTGTGTGACTCGTAATTCTGTCACTTCCTGTTCCCAAAGACAATGGCTCCCCCTGTCTGTGTTTGGATTTCGATCTCACTTCCAGTCATTTTGGAAACTCCATCTCGACTCCCTCTGAAGAACAACGTTTCAGTCTTGGTGGGATTTGGATTAGTTTTGAAGAAGATGATGATGCTGTAAGTGTTGCTGTCATAGCGACGCTGCATCCCAGGAACTGATTTGCAAAGGCAAACATGTTTAGTAGGGATCTCAATGCCGCACGGATTACATTTCCTATCAACAATGTGACAAATGGATTATTGTATCTGCCAAGAGTGGTGATAATTAATGTTTGATCATTATTTCTTACTATATAATTCCTACAAAATGTGCTAGCAGCCACTAGAGCCGGATTTGTTTGTCATATAAGAAGATACTTCTTATATCGCTGCATTACACAATACCCCTACCAGCCTCACAATCCAAATGTAGGAGATGCAGTTCAAAGGTTTGTTGAGGATTTAAAAAATAAATAGTTCTCACAATTTACATAAAAGCACAAACTGAACATGACGATGACTAACTGCACCTTTAATGCGAGCTGCCGGTTGGGGTTTTCTGCAGCAGCGGTGGACCTGCAGCGGGCCGCGGCTCCATCGGAGGCCTCTCAGCCTTCTCCTTGGGCTCTGTGAGTGAAATCTGCAGCTAACCAAGCTGTCACTTCCCATCAGGGCCTGTTGAGGCCTGAACACCTGCTGGGTGTGGGCATAAAGGAATGGGCCTCCATTAGCATGGTAATGGCAGTCTAATAGAGTGCTGATGGAGAAGTGGGATGGGGGTTGGGGGGTGGGGGGTTTAGGCCGTTTAATAACGTGAAATAAGTCCCAGATTGATTACAGAGTGCGAGTGGGAGAAAATATCAAGGGGCTGATTGCTCTGCCAGCCGGAATGACTGATCCATTTTGAGTCGCCTCGGCATTGTGATTGATGGCCCGGTGCAGTCTGGGTAATGTAGTGGCAGACGGTGGCGGGAAGAATGCTGGCTGCTGAATGAGTAAAAGAGGCCCGGGAGGGTGCGAGAGAAAGTCGGAGGGCTGTGAGATGTCAGCGGTTGAAGGCGGTCTTAGCCACGGCCGCAACCAACCCATCGCCACGGTGACAAGTTTACCGCCGATCCCATTAGAGAGGGTGATAACCAGGGCCGGGGTGCCCGGGGGGCCGGAGCTCCAGCTGCTGCATCGCTGGAAGGAAAGTGTTTGGACTCTCGGGTTGAAATGTCGCTGTAACCTTTGCCCCGCTCCACGTCGCTCGCTCTTGTTTTTCATTCTTTCCGGGTGCACGTCTGCGGAGGAGATAAGGGACCTTTTTCTCTCGCGGGGGCCGAAACCGTTTCACCGAGGCTGCACCAAAATGTATTCTGACATTACCCTTAAATGCAGAAAGCCGTTTCCTTACACGGGGCTCTTCATTAAAAACCTTCTAAATAAAGAGCTTTTTACAAACTGCTGCAAGTCCCATTTTGTGAAGATCGTTGAAGTATTTCATTTTGTGTGCAAATTACAGCGTTGGCTTTGTGCAGATACTCAGGAGAGAGACTTACAATAAGCCTCACAAACGGCATTCATTAGGAAATGTAAAGCATGAGCATCCTTCATGTTACATGTTGTTAATAACACACTTTAAAGCTGACAACAAGTGCTTTTTGTGTCTAGGAAACTAACCTTTTTTCAGATATTATTTATAATAAACTATTGGCTTTTAAGTGTTCAGCAGAGAAGCTTTAACTGCATGATACTATTTTGATTATCAAAGCGTATGAAGACCTTTTCGGTCGGCTTCATGGAATTGCTTCAATGCCACACAAGATGTGGACTGATTTGTCTTTGTCTCGCAGTCTGAGACAAAGTAGCTGTGTTTCGATGGGTTTATCATGAGTTTGTGTTGTTTGCGTTTGAAAGAATGTCCTGCTGTGTTTCTCTGCAGTTGTTTTGGTGTTTTATTTCTTATCTTTTTCCACCATGTGATGAGACCCTGAAGCTAGATGGATTCTAACCACGGTCAACTTTTCATCTGTTAGGGAGCTAATGGAGTGCAGTTAGGAAAGTAGCCGGGATAATTTAAGGTTTCGAGAACGTACAACTTTTAGGTTCAACATTTTCTTGCACATTAAACCCTTAAATCTACAAACGGTGGACTTTTTCCCTCATGGATCCACACAAAATAGTCTCTTTCTGTCTTTATCTTCTATCCATCTATTTTGCAGCGGATGAATGTCAAGCGAAACCTCGATCACATTCATCACAGGGAACAAAACCCCGACGCCTTGAAGGGATTGTTGAGAGATTCTCCTCTAAAACTCTCCAAGATTGAAAAGACGAAAAAGATTTCTACTTTTTTTTACTCTCAGTGTTTGCTTTGAACGTGGGCCTAAGTCTCTCACGGTAATCCAGCCGGGTGAGCGTGCTTGGATTTGAACGGTGGCCTTGAGGGGAACTGGGAGATTGCTGAGAGAAAGTGTTGTCTTCTTTGTTTCTTTAGAGCATTCTCAGGGTGAGCAACAACGCAAAAGCACGTTTGGCGCTTTTACCCCCATCAAATATCTCTTTCTCTTTTTTTAGTTTTCAGTGAACTCCGAACGGTGGCCGGTCAGGAAACATTGTGAAAGTTGATCACATCTCTCCGTGTGTCCTCCCCAGGATTCAAAGCGCTCGGCGGAGATCGTCGCCTCTCCGTCTCTGGACGTTTTCCTGCCGGCGGACGAGGACAATCCCTACGAGTCCGTGACCACCGCCGTCACGCGGAAACCCTGCTCGCTGGACATCAACCACCGGCTCAACTCCAGTCCACGCAATGGTAGGACAACGCAGAAAAGCACACTGTCGCCTGCAGCTCCTGCTCCCGAAAACCCTGACATTCTCTATTCCTCTTCTCTGTGGCGTCTTCGGCGACGAAGGTTGATTCCATTCAGCAGATAAAAGCATCATGTAGAATTAATTTCTTTTTGTCTCTCTCTTTTTCATTCACGATGTTCATACGCGGCAGATTCTTCTTCGCTCTTTGTCACCGGCCCCTTTTGAGACGGCGGCACATATGTTGCCCTCCCCCGTGATCGTGTTTACCGCGGTCACGAGCAAGAATCCATACGAACGTCCCGCTGCTGTGATGATCACAAGTTCAGTGGGAGACGCGAACCACCCGAATGCCAAGCGTGTTGTTTGTTCAACCTCGACACGAGCTCCGCAGCGGCAAGCGGGTGTGGGTGAGCGTGAGAGTGGTGTTGTTTGGGAGACATCGTTGCCTATGGCCCTTTTTCAGATGGGATTTATTGTTTTTAGTGCAGGTTGGCTGATTTTAAAATTGCAAGCACGGATCAGATGTCGGATATTCACTAAGCCCCGGCTGTGTGAAACACCGATAAAATGCCTTGAAGAGACGCTTGATGCAGACGGATCTGAAGGCTACGAGTTAAGAGTCTGAAGGGTCTCCCCGGACCTCTGCGGCCGGCCTTTCATCTCTGCCCGAGGCTGCGTGAGCTGCCCGACCCAAGACAAAGACGGAGACCACGTCTCTGTGCTGTAGTCCAAGGCTAAAAAAGCGTTCTCTCAAAAGACAGACACACGTGTGAACAAGTCTCTTCTTTGGTCCTTCGGCGGTGTCGTGGCTTTGCGAAGTTGACGTCACTTTGATACGTTTTGATATCCTCAGCCCGGTCCTGTCTGTCTCCCGCGTCTTGTCCGTTGTTTCGTTGTGTTTTTCGACACCCACGACGACGCGCTCCCACACCGCGTCCTTCCCTCCAACTCGTTTACTCCTTAGCGATGCTACACGCTGCAGGTTGTCACGGCAACTGCATCACCAGCTGGTGAGTCACCTGTACGTTGCCATGGGAACTGCATTACTATTGACCCCCCCTCCCGTCCCCGCCGCCTTGGACAGTAGAGCGAGCTGGGAGGTTAGATGATTTATGTCAAAGGGTCTTTTTGTAGAAAATTGCTTCACTGACGTAAGTGAGCGGTGTGGGCGTTGTGTTTGTCCCCGGCTCTCTGATGTTACCTGGCCAAATGGGGAGAGGGGGGGTGGCGGAGGGAGGGGGAGACAGAGAGAGACGTAAACATGCACAAAGGAAAATTCAGAATATCAAAAATCAGAGACTGCCGTAGAGGCGAGACGCAGCGAACGCCACACATTCCAATGTTACTGCTGAAAGAGGCTGTAAATGCAGAGAGTTCAATAGGCTGGATACTCCGCCTTGTCCCCGAGAGACACACGAGAGACGGACGAGAAGGAGTGCGAGACGGAGAGGGGGCCGATTACGCATTCGGTCGGGGAAGTCAAGGGGGGTCGTCTCAGCCGGGAGTCGTCCACGCGAGGTGTGACGAGGAGGGAGAGACTCAAAGTGTCTGTCGGCCTACGAGAGGAGGCATGTGATGATGAGGGAACACGGGGAGAGACGGATTGAGATGAGAGGAAAAGGGAAAAACAGAGAGAGACACTTGGTGCACTACACTGCAAAAAAAAGCTCTTCCTCCAACAAATCAACTGGGTTGTGATTGTGTTTTCAAAATGTCTCCAGATGTTTTATTTTGGAAGTATGATAAAGCGATTCAGTGCAATTCACTTCCAATGCTTATCAACAACAGCACACGACTTCACACCCGAGTCAACTGAGCGCCGCCTGGGATGTTTCCACACATAACACCTCAAATGCTTTCACCAGTGGACCATCGGCTCCATCACCACCGTCTCACATCAGACATTTATCTAAATGACAATATTTGAGAATATTCATTTGAATAATTTGAAGGCTTCCGGAGCAGTGGTTGCACCCAGCAGCTGATTTCTTTCTCTTTTTTTTTTTTAAATGAAGGGAGGTTTTGTTTCCTCATTAATTAGCGGCATGTGGCTAAAGAAGTACAGCTGGCTCCGCCCACGCCGCCGCCGCTCTTTTCTCCAAACAACTGAGCGGCATAGACGACTCTCCTCAGCAGAATTGGTCTCATTAGTGAGCTGGATGTGAATATTCTTTTGTTTGCAAGCCTCGCTTGACGTCCAGCTGTCCTGCGCTGCGGTCTCACACCGATCGACGTCCATCTGGTGGCTGTCAGTCGGTGCAGCCGCTGCAGGAACACCAGGGGCCGCCTGTCAGTGGATCTCCCAAATAACCTTCCGCCCCCTCCCCCTCCTCATCGCCCCGCTTCTCACAGGTCTTTTATTTGACTTCCATCGTTCTTTTCCTTTGGTCTTCCCACAGCTGTTGTCCTTCGATTGTCCACAACCTGTTGTCTTTCACGACGGCTCCCGTGGGAATGTTCCAACGTTTCATCTGACGGCGAATAAATGGAGTCTTCTTTGTAATGCAAAGTACGCCGAGTGTTATAATCCCAGTAATCGAGTCCTGCGGCAGTCTTTCTCCACGTTAACTCAGGATTACACTTATGGTATTAGATGGATTCCTCTCCGATGGAGGGAAACTATTTCTGTCGCAGCTCTTGGCCGATGTCCTCCAAGAACGTTTCTCTGCTTCCAGCCGAAGCGTCGCAGGGATCTTGTCAACGACGCTTTCCCTCCATTGCTCCATATTATAACATCTGCTTTGAGCAAAATCCTCCTTTCGCTAAGCGGCTCGGCATCGGGGATTCTGAGGAGTGCAGCAGTGGTGGAAGGTCAGATGTGGTTTTCAGCAGCGTTGCGGGTGCAATGTGCTCCTGCGGGTTGGTCGGGTGCTGGCGAGCTCAGTGCTGCCAGGCGGTCACAATAATACCACAGGAGCACAAGAGCCTCTCCTGTGGTATTATTATATTGGAGCAAACTTTTTATGAAAAAAGGGTTCACCAGACGAGCAGAGAACTCCGCATTTATAATTGACTGATGAATAAAAGAAACTTATCGCGCGCCTCAGTTCTCTCTGGCTCAAGTGATGTCGCTGCATCTCGCTCCATTTATCCCACTTAGGCTTAGAGGGGCGAACGGAGGAACAAGAGTAACTCCCGGGCTTCACCACCGAATGGGTGGAGGCCCATTGGCTCGCCGAGAGGAGGCGACGGAGCGCCTCGCTCCCCGACAGCCGGGAGAAATCGATGCTCGAGGAGCACGTCTGGACGTTGTCAGTTTTTGTCTCGTTAGGCTGCCGGGAGGAGGACAGCCGATTTGAACGCTCTCCTTCCTGCACGCGCCGCTGCTTTAGCACGCTGTGCAGCGCCTCTCCGCTGCGTCTAAAGAATATCTGAATCCTGTGAAACCTGTTGAAGTGTTTCAAAGTTTCCCAGAGGTTGTGCTGTACGCACGCACACACGCATGAACAAACCTGGACATGTGGATGTAAAGATGTAGATATGATGCCCTGCAGTAATCATATCTCACTCACGTGTTGTGTGTATGCACCTTCATGTGTTTTCTATACACAAACAAGCTTCCCCCTTGGCAAGGAGGGCTTAGTGTTTCCCAGGAGTGAGCTCAAGGCAGATCCGAAGGAAGCACCGTCGCACACACACACACACACACATTCATCATCAAAGCGTCAGTGTAAGGCTTATTTATCAATAGGACAAAACCTCTATTTCTATATATGTATCCCCCTGTCGCATCCTTCCTTTCCTCTATTCTCCTTTTTCCTGTTTAAAAAAAAATCTATTTACGCCCACATTCAGTCACTGATTCAGCTCCAGGCTGCTCTGTGTGTGCATGTGTGTCCGTGTGTGTGTGTCTGTCAGCAGCTGTGTATTACTGCACAACCCAAAGTCAAATCTAGGGACCTCTGTCTGGGTTTTGCACACGCAGGCATGCACAGGATGACAGAGAGATGTTCTGTGAAGCTCAATCACTTTCCCTGAAGGACCGGTGTGTGCGTGTGTGTGTGTGTGTGTGTGTGTGTGTGTGTCTCTGTGTCTGCAGTTTTAAAATAAACATATGATACAAGATGGTGGAAAATTCTGATGCAGAGGCTTTTAATCTTCCACCACCAGCATGAATGAGCGGAATGACTTGAAGCAGATGGTTATTGTATCAGAGAAAGGAACGTCTGCCAGAGGAAATATGAGTTTAATTAAGTTTTTTGGGCTTCGTTTTTAGCAATTAAAAGACTGATCGGGGTGTGTTTAAATGTGCTTCTCGAGGCAAACTGTCTTCTTCTGTGGTGCATTGTATTGCTAATGTCTTCTTTTGATTACATGGGTTCTATTGCCTTTTTATAACTGTAGTTCTGTCCCTTTCTTGAAGAGATTCGTTCATCTTTCAATGTCTCTGCACTTATTGAACCTTCAAAAGCGCTAACAAAGACCGAGGTGATGTTTGCAGACAGAGGCTAAGAAGTAATGATGAAAAGCAGCAGGCATCTCTCCTCCGGGACGCAACGATCCGCAACAACAACCGAGCGCGTGATCAAAAAAGTCATTAAGCGAGTTGTCAGCTAAGTGTGTCTTTGATGTGTCTTCAGAGGAATTAATAGAAACGTTAGTTTGGGGTTTTTCCATTTTACGGTGAAAACGTGTTTCTTTCTAACTTGAGTATTTTGTGAAGCAGTTCTTCCTGGTGTGCGTTTCTATCTCTAAATTCCTGGTTAATGCCTCTACACCCGGCTCATTCTCCTCAATCCTCCAGAAGACTTTCAGTTAGTTTCTCCAAATTCAATTAAAAACGCCCGCCGGGGTTGAAAATGAAACAGATTACGGTTTGGTGGTCAAAGGTCACCGTGACCTCACAAAGCAGGCTCCACTTGCAAAGTTAATACATTCTTTACAAGCTTAATTTTTTTTTATTAAAATGAAAATCCTCCTCTGCTAGATCCTGGCAAAGTAAACGCAAAGGTGCTCTGAAATACTTAAATGACCAAAGACTCAGATCCTTATTTTTATCCAAAACACTGTGAACCTCCTCCGATTGTCCCCTCGGTGTGGCTTTGTTCTTTTTGATTTAGCTGAAGGAGATTTGTGGGAGTTGTGAGAAATCCCACCTTCAACTAACCGTTGACAGAAGGAGCTCTTTTCTTTTTATTCCAGTGTCGAGTTTGGAATGTGATAAGTGATCATTCATATATTTAAACAGCAATGCAGCAAAGGTGTCTTAATGATACGACTCTTCTGTCACTGCTAGTGATGTCTGGGTGGTCTCACTATAATTGGACAATATGGAGTCTGTAGCTGACAAAAAGCCTGTGTGTGTGTGTGTGTGTGTGTGTATGTGTGTGTGGGGGGGGGGGGTCTGTTGTCTCCTCCAGCTGATTAAGACGGATGCTTTCCCTCCTCGGAAATCAAACTCCTGCACTTCTCTTTCCTTCGTCTTCTTTTTTTTTTTCTGCCCGTCCTCTGTCAAGTGACCACACGCCGGGGGAAATTACGCGCGACGCTCGGCTCTGCGCCGAGGCCGCTTGCCGATTGGGACACGGCGCTCTCGCCGCCTCTCTGTCGTGCAAACGCAGCTCCGCGGTTGTCAGGTGGGCGACACGTTGCGCGCGAGGCTGAACTCTCCTTTCGTTCCTCGCGTTGCTGGAGACGCCGGTGAAGTAGTCCGTGTGGTGCGGACGAAAATGATGGAGTGGCAGCGACTTCGGTCTGATCTGACATGTTCTTCACACAACTACTAGTGTCCATAATAAAAAAAAAACGCTCAATACTGACAGGTGAGAGAAAACAACAACAAATCTCACCTGTCTCCCTCCCTCCCTCCCTCCAAGGTCCCCTGTCCCATGTAACCGCGAGTAAGGGGGAGCCCGGTAACCATGGCAACTGTTCGACAGGACCCACTCCAGACTGCTCCCCCCCGTCCCCCGACACAGCCCTGAAGAACATTGAGAGAGTCATCCGCCCACAGGTGAGCGAGCGAGCATGCACGCACACACACACACACACACACACACACACACACACACACACACACACGCTAATGAATGTGTTTGAGAGGCACCTGATGCATTATTGAACATGACAGTATCCACCTACACACACACACACAGGTAAACATCTCGATGTGTTTGCCCTCTGATTGTTTCATTTTGTCTGATGGTAAATTGAAGTAAACCGTATCAGATTATGTTAAACATAATATCATAATATCCTATACCAACTTTTTCCAATACATTAAATGTTTGTCAATATTTTAGTGACACCATTTCTGTTTAGCTTAATTATTAGCTGCCAGAAACTTTTATTTTATTAGCGGTTACTTACACTAAAACATTTCTCTTTAACAGGTGCATTTTTAACTAGACGATGATCATGTGAGTAAACAGCATCTAAGCTGAACCGCATTGAGACTGTCAAACGTCAGTGAAGCTCCTGCTGAGATCAAAATAGAAAACTTTATATGTCGATTTAAATATGCATTTAATCTTCAATCAGAACTAAAGTTTGTTATAAAACTCAGTGTCTCTGCTTGTGCGACCTTGTACAACAACAACAGCAGAGCCGATTAATAATGTGCCACTGATCAGTGATAACTTCCAATCAACATTCAGAAATTCAAATGCAACATTAAATCATCCTCATTAGCGAAGACGGATTGATTCAGTACTTCCCCCTCTGTCAACAGGAAGACGGTAACAGGCAGCTCGGTGTGACGGTTTATTCTAAACTTGTAAGTTCAAAAGTGAGTGAGACAATTATCTTACCAATCGATCTCAGGTGCTTCCTCCTCATTCTAAATAAAACGTTTTCGTCCTCACAATGAGACAAAAAAAGACAAATCCCATTTTCACCGGACCCTGAATCTTACCTTGCCATGTTCCTTTCCTCCCTTGTTTCCTTATCTCCCGTCCTCCCCCCTCACTGGTCTAACTAACTACACTGGTTAGTGTGTGCGGTGGGAGCCGCTCAGCCCAAAGCGCAGATAATCAAGGAGCACCGGAGTTTCAATTCACGGCGTCTAATTAATTCCCTGGAATTAATTTTATTTCATTTGAGTTCTTCCTGCTGGCAATTTCATCATTTCATCCTGTACGTCAAACACACACACACACACACACACACACACACACACACACACACACACACACACACGACTCCACGCCGCGCGCACAGAGGCCGCTGTGGGGACCTTGTTGTTATTGCAATATTCAGGTCGAGCGTATGGATTTCATTTTGCGGTGGTCATACGGTGTTGGGGGGGGATTTGATCAGCGACGTGCTGCCGTCTTTCAAACCGTTACGTAACTCTGCATTAAATCACATCTAGAAATAGATCGGTAGCCTTGGACAAAATTGACTGATTCATCTGATTTTCTTTTGGGACCAAGATATTGAAAAAATATCCACGATCGGCTGTAATGTGCACAATACACTCGCCTTTGTTTTCATTCCTTCATCTAATACTCATTTGTGCTATTTCTGTTCAGTATTATTCCCTTATCTACTCATGCATAAAGGTCATTTTGAACAATGTAGCTCAGTTTTATCCTTTGGTTTCACATTTAAAGTGTCGTTTTAGTCGAATTCGACTCTTTAACGTACATTTTGAACATTTATTGAAATTTAAATTAGCAAATTTACCCACTGACAGTTTGATAATGTGCAGTGATATTATAACAATTTATTATCATTCATTCATAAGTCATTTGACAGTTCAATAAATCTCATTCATTAAGACTCTAGTATAGTAGTAGTATAGTTTTATATTCCCCGATTGGCATCATTCTAAAAGCATTTTTGAAGCCTGTTGTGTGACTTTGTTACATCCAACCTCCTCCTGCTCCCCAACGCTGCAGCTGTACATTTAAAAGTGTAATTCTGCTCCTTAAATCCGGGTTTGAATGTAATTATTCAGCTCGACCTCGAGCCGCTCGCTGACAAACGAAAACACGCCATCGCTTGGGGAAGTCGCGCAGAGAGCTCGCCGGCGACGTCGACCCCGAGTTCTTCGGGGGTTTGTTTTTTCTTCATTCGTCGCCGGCTTCTTGTCTTCAGACTGTCAGCCGGACACGTTTGATCTCCGCCAGCTCTCGATCACACAGTGAAGGAATAATCAAACGGATCCAAAGAGACGGGAGGAGGGAAAGAAAAGCAAAGAAGAACCGGGATCGGTGTCACACCCACTGGCTCGGTGTCCTACTTCCCTGCGTGTGTGTGTGTGTGTGTGTGTGTCTGCAGCATGTAGAGCGGCGGTCACACAGCAGAGTGTGTAACAACTTTAAGGACGTAACAAACGCTGAGGAGCTTCTCGACCAAACTGTACCACTTATTCTGTTGACTCCCCAAATCGCAGGTCAGCGTGCTCTCAAAGGAAGGTCAACCGCGTGCAAACTCGTTGGTCCGCGCGTCGTCCCGTTGAGATTGTTTGCTTTGACCGACGCAGATCTCGTGAACTTGGAGGTGATGTGTGTAATTTTAACGTCCGCTTGGAGTGATTTTGAGACGACAGCGTAATTATAGTAATTGGATTGAGACAATAACAAAAAGGCTCTAGATATATCTCCCTCTCTCTCATATATCTATATCTATAGATATAGATATAGATATATATATATATCTATGTATACTTTTTCTAAATTAGGAGGAGCGCAGCCGGGGGTTAAATTCACATGACTGTTGAACGTATTTATCACGCACAAATACCAGTGTTGCAGCCTCACTGAGCTTATTTTTTACTAATTAAGTTGTTATGGCCAAAAAACAAAAATCATTAAATTCATAAATTAATATTAGCAATATATTGCAATGAGAAAAACATCTTATCAAGCTGCACCGCCGTTAGACGGCTGTTGTTCCTCAGCCTTTAACTGTAGCTCCATTGGAGGAAGCAGGAGCACTAATGACTTTAGCATTTAGAGCTCATTAATCCCATCAATCCTTTGGCTGCTGGGGTTTGTGTGTTGAACACACGCAGTCACTCCGTGATCCCACACTGCCAGTGTTGCTGCAGTCAGTTAATATTCGCTCGGGTCTGCGCGCGACTACACGGGTGCAATATGACAGCGTTTGTAGCAGCTCTTTTATTAGACGCCCTCTCGTACTGCAGGCTGCCGCACACGCGATCAATGAACGAGCAGTGATGATGTTCGAAGAGGGACGGTGAGAAAGGAGGGCAGCGGGAGGAAGAGGACAAAAGGATTTCTCTCTCTCTCTCTCTGTCTCTCTCTCGGCGTTCCATCTGGAGGTTTCTGCGAGCACCAGGAGAACTTTGGTTGCTTTGCCAGGCCGCAGAATGCCAGTGGCCCCGGACGAGAGACCTGGGTCGCCCCCACAGCTAATTGAACTGCCTCCGGCGTTAAAAGCTTTCCTCTGCGAGTCGTGAGCAGTTTCCTGTGGGGTCAGATCAGGCTCCATAGTTGCAAATGTATTCGATTCACAAATGCACACATAAATAAATTACAATTTATATTTGCGGATCGCTTCACATTTGTGCTGATCCTCAAATGCGTTTTTTTAAAGATGGACCTGACTGCTAACATTTCGAAACCACGGTACAATTACTGAAAGTAACTGTGATGCGTGACAGGGTCTGTCGCCTAGCAGCACTGCCCGATCCTCTCTGTTACACACTTATTATCGCTTCTCTATTTGCACTCGTTTGGGTGTTGCGATTGCTAAGAATGAACAAAAAAAGAAGGAGATGGCAGTTCTGATGCAAAATCTGCATACAAAATGGGGTGCAGGAATAATTCTATGCACGGTGTGTATGATATACTGGAAAGTTCTAGTGGCTCACATTTCAATTAAATGCATTTGAGGTGTTGCATGCATAACATTTTCTCTTCCATGAGTGGATGTGCTCCGTGACGGAGCATGAAGTTCTGGGTTTGGTGGGAACTGCTGGAGAAAAACCTCATGGTTACCCGATTCACCTGCTTCCTCAAAATTAATCTCCCCAGCCTCTTCCAGGCCAGAAGATGTTCCACCAGGACATGATGGCCAACAGTTCCACCAGCTCTTGTGTTGCACTTGAAGTCCTATTGACATGCCCTGCTATAGTTTCTGAAGTTTTCTAATGGTTTCATGTACAGCATCACAGATCGTATGCCTTTATAGATTTATCATGGGAAAAAGAATTAACGGCATTCCTGATGGTGATTGATATTATGCTGGAACAATAGCCCAAAACAAGCCGTAGGTGCAGAAAACCTCCAGTAAAAGGAACTGAATTCAGCACGTAGAAGCCAGAACAACCTGAAAGTGCCTGAGTTAGTTTTTAGAGATCAAGTGGAACCTTTGCTTTGGCTTTAGGGCTTTTTACTGGTTGATGGGTGATGTTTTCTGCCATCCTCAGGTTATTGTTTTGTGACTTTGTGTGAATGTGTTATTATTTGGTGCAAAGACCAAACAATGGAAAAGAAGTGAAAACGTGTGTGTTCTCCATTCTCAGCACTGCATTCTCTGAGTGAACAGAGCCACTATGATAACTACAAACGATTTTCTTAATTACATTTTGGTCCCCTGCTAATGCTAAATTACTAAATTAGTGAGCCTGTGACTTTTACAGAAAAAGTTGTGTATAAATAACAATCGCTCCGTATTGAGATAAATTGGGTTTTTTAGCATTGCAATGATGGTTAGCACAATACATTCTACTTCTTGTCAAGTTTTATCAATCAACACTGAGCGCCCTCGTCTCACAACCCCACGTGTCTCATTGTTCAATCACAATAATTCTATTGCAATTGATCGTGTGGTTATTCGTAATTTAGCACACACTGAAATGAGCCCCTTCCAACACCCACAGGCAAACTTAAGCTGCGAACCACATCTCACCTCGTCCAAGGAGACGTAATAGACTTTTAAGCTAATGGAGGTGTCATTTATTAGCACGCACGCACACACACGCACGCGCGTCTGCGAAGCGTTAAACGGCGTGTTTTCCCCCAGGGAGGCTGTTCCAGCGGGGACAATGTCTTTGGCTTTGATCTAGTGGGACACGGAGGACCTGCCTCGCTGTGCGCGTTTGTGTGTCTGTGCTCATTAATCCCCCTCCAATCCGCCGTGACGTGTTCATTAGCCTGCTGCCCGTTTGCATTGTTAACGCTAAGCCTCCGCCACAGCTACGCCGCGTTTGCATTTCCTGTCGTACATATTTCAATGTGTGTGCGTGTGCTAATGTGCATGTTGCCTTTATTTGCTCTTTTGCTTGGAGTTAGATGAGAAGGTCAATGACCCCTTCATGTCACTAAATATGAAGCCACGGCCACCCGATTAGCTTAGCTCGGCACAAAGTCTAGAGTCATGGGGTAAAAGCTAGCTCTGTCCAAAGGTGTTAAAATACACCTGCCGCCTCCTCTAAAGCACATTATTCCACCGTACCTCCTTTTTGTTCTAGGCTCACTTTTATTTCTTCTGTTTTCATTGTTTTTTGATTCTCTCGTATTTTTTCATGCCCTTTGCTCACGTGCACTTGCTCCTCTCTTGTTTTTCATCTCGGCTCGGTGGAGTCAATTTTAAGACCCTTCGGGGCCCGATTCCAGTGCACCCAAGTGGAAAGGAGCGTTGTCTCGTCCTCTCGTGCTTTCATTTCCGCTCGGGACCCCTCCGCCGGCCCGCCGTGTCGCGCGGAGCAGCAATTGTGCCGTGAGTGACGTGTGAAGATCTCACAAAGGTGTTTCGGCAGGTTATTTCGCCTCGACGGTCCAACGTATCGATTCACTCTTCTTACAAGTTCTGACTTGCGCGCGCAAACACACAAACATACGCACACACACGCACACACATACACGCACGCACGCACTCGGGCACGCGTAGTTTCGACTGCCTGAGCTGTTTGCGAAGTGAAGCCACAGGTTGTTGAGAGCTGCAAATGCCTCATTCTGTAAGACTGGATGATTTTAGTCTTGCTATAATATATATATATATATATATATATATATATATATATATATATCTTGTATTAATAAATGTAACAAATATGTCTTGATGAAATAAGAATGTCAAAGAAAAAAATAAAAGGAGAATAATGAGCATTTCATCAGATTACACAGTATATTAGTAACGGTTTGTTCCCCCCGTCTCGTCTCCAGCCCAAGCAGCGCACCTCTCTGTCCTCGGCCCTGGACGTCCAGAGGCCGGTCAACCACAGCTGTGAGCCCAGCGAGGTGAGCTCGTCCCTGGGCTACGCCAGCTTCAGCACCAGCCCCCCCGCCAGCCCTCCGCTCAGCCCCAACCAGGAGGACTCGGCGGGCTCCAACGACGACTGTCAGCTGACGGGTAAGGACGCGTTATTAATGGAGACTGCCGGATCGCACTCTGCTCCCGACCTCTCGTCCCCTGGGACACAAATACCTGGTCGGTATGAAAAGGGCTGATGTTGCGCCAAGCAAAGCAAATAAATCAGACCTCGGGATTGATGATCAGTGCTGAATATTCAAGATCTGTGGAATTGTGCTTTTATTGTGTGTCTCAAACAGGCGTAGTGTGTGTGGACAGGTATAGCAGGTAGGAAACAAGAGGTTAACACAACCTGCTAAAGTTGGATTTCAGTTTCATGTATTTAATGTTTCATGTATGTCCCAGGAAATACAAATCATATTTCTACTCATGTGTCATGTGAGACCAGAGCCAAGAGGCCGTAGTGAACACTGGGGTTAGTTAAACTATAGCTGGTATGCTAAGTGCTAGCAGAGAATGCTCGTCAAAACAGCCTTAGTTAATTCTCTGTTAATCATCAAAAACATTATTGTATTAAATACAAAATATACTTCAAATTCAAAGAATATGGGACTTTTAAAAGTTCTTTTTAAGGGGAAATGTCTTCTCTAACATATTGGTTTGTGTTAGGGGACAAATGAGCACTTTTCTTTTGGAGGAAAAAAAGGACTCTGCAAAAGATGCTCTATTAGTCCTGCTGGGAGTCTCTTGAACTGTCGGACCAGATGAAACACTGACTCTGGTTAGAAGACCTCCCCCGCTGGGTTTGGCACTTCCTCCTCCAAAAGGAATATTCCATGCAATATTGTGGCCTTCCATCTTAAGAATTTTAACTGTCTGCTCGCCTAGATGCAGATGTTTCAATATAGTAATATATCGGCCTGCGATGATATATTATTCTTCAGGACCACTTCCTGGTCACTCGCCACATCCGTTACCATGACGATGATATTAGTTGTTGTCATGGCAAAGCGGCGACTTGGTGGTAGTTGGCCTGTGACGTTGTTGTGAATGCTTTCACCCTCTCACCTGGGTTCAGCCCAAAAAAAGCTGAACGAGACGTCTACATCCACTGTTGTCATTGGAGCGTTGCCATGGCATCTATGTAACAGGAATGTGTTGTTTCCCTCTCAGACCTCCATAATGAGTCGTGGCCCTTTCACTGATGTCAGGCCGACGGAGACCGAGGAGCAGTTATTGATCTCGGTGTTGAAAGCCCTTGTTTTGACTTTCAACGATACGATACGAGTCATGTCCCGGATTTGAGAAGTTAATTACCAAATTACCGACCAGATTTTGGAAACCCGTGATCACATTATTCCCACCCACATTTTGTTATTATAAATGAACGTCTGAGAGCACTTTTCACAAAGCAGCGCTCTTTTTTTTTGTATTACTTCTTTTTTTATATATTGCAACACAGCAGCTGTTAAACACATCATGTGGTTTAATTTCTAGCCAAACATCCAAACGGGCATCACGCAGTGAGAAAAAGTTTTTCAGCGAGAGCTGAAATTGAAATTGTCTGCCTCTACATTTACATTTGAATTGCAGCCACAACGGCACAAAAATATTTGTTTTTCAGTATTTTATTACTAGTTGTATTCTAGTGATCAGTAACTGTTTAAGAGCTTACATCATCATTAAATGAGTCCACAGACGCATCCGACCTGTTGATAGTAGAGCTGCTGGTTGTATTTCGATTTTTATTACATCTTTGTAGTTTCAACATATGACATTCTGACCAGCCTTCTCTGGCAGTAAAACTTGCAAATCAATTCTTAATTGTCTTAATTAACGCTGTACACTGCAACATTTAAAAATATATCATATTTGCGTGAGCAAAATCGTGGTCTCATCTCATGGAGATTTGAACTTTGAAGGACTGTGTCCTCTCATCCCGCCTGTTCCCCGCAAAGAGGTCAAAGTGGGTCAAAAGTCCACTATAGTCTGTCTCTATATGTGTGTCTCTACCTGGCTCTTCTCGCCAAAAGCCCCAAAAGCAACCAGCCATTTATTTTTCCATTAAATTGGTTCCTTTTATTCCCCCCTTTGTCCTCCTTCTGCTACTCTGCCCATCACTCCGGCGCTCTTTACTTATTAGCTTATAAGGCCCATTGTGTGGTTGCCATGGTAACAAGTGGCTTACACAGTGAGAGAGACACACACACAGGATGAGAGAAGCAGGGAGTGTATATATATATATATATATATATATATATATATTTGGATACAACAGTCACAGAATTCAAAGCATGCCAGTGAAAAGGAGAGTGGGTGAGGGGAGGGAGGGAGCCTAACGTCGCAGGGGTAGAGGGGAGATGGTGCGCGTGGTGGTGGTGCTGGTGGGGGGGGGGGGGGGGTGATGAACAAAAAACTGAAAGATGGAGAGAATTGCAATGTGAGATTTAAGGGGGTTGGAGAGCGAAATGAGGACTAGAAAGTGAAGGGAACACTTTTTCCCCCCGCTAGCACTCCATAAAAGGTCCTTCCTTCCTTCCTTCCTTCCTTCCTTCTTGACAACATTCCTCCCTCTCTCTCTCTCTCTCTCTCCGAACGCCAACCCAACATTTATACAACAAATGTCCGGCCCTGCAGCAGAGTACGCAGGTGTCAGCCACCTGCGTGGGCAGTTGGATGAAAAGGCGGCCTATTTATAACCTGATCCTTCGCTGCTGCTGCAGAGCTGCAGAGCTGCGGTTTACGTAACGTTGGACATTGCTGGAGAAGATATTCCCTCGGCGCAGAGTGGCAAGTGAAACGCGGTGCTCGTGTAAAAGCGGCGCAGCTGCAGACGCGCTCTTCCTCCGCAGAGCCCACTGCGACAAGTCGGGGTGGAACAAGTATTGTATTTACTCAACTGGAAGCTTTTAAGTTTTCTTCTCTCACAGCAACATCTGTCGCTCTCTCATGTTTTTGTGCAGAGATGACATCTAAAGCTGCACAGTAATTACTATCATTTTATCCGATGGGTCGGTTGAATAAGTGTTACCTGACAGCGCTGGCTAATTGCAATTAAAGTAAAATAGCTTTTCAACTTTGGACTCTTTGTTTGGTTCTTTTTCAAACTAAAACTTTCATCTATATTTCATGTCATTGTTTCCAGAAGCAGCAGGTGGCTGTTTTCATTTATAAACCATGTTGACACTACTCGTGATCGAGTAGTTTTCACAGTATAGATACCTCAGGACGCACTGGTTTAACCGCAGTGTTGAGCAGGAAGACTCACTGCAAGTATTCTAACCGAACACGTGTTTCCTGTATGGACTCTTGCTTCTAAAGGACCATCGCCAATGAATTTGTCTCACGTTTCATCTCGCAGGCGGAGTGATCGGCGAGCTCCTCCGGTTAACGGGCCGTAGACGGCACAGCGATTAACCGCCGCGTGTGGCCACGTGTTTAAGTCCGTTTAAACCTCCGGTGCCTGATTCCAACCTTCTTCTGTCTGCTCGAACATCGCGCGCTTCGCCTGCAACTCTAAGTCACATTCAGAGTCACCGGCGCCTTTGTTTGCTGCGTTAATGGAATACTCATGCGCACACGCACACACACGTATAATCAAGCTGTCTTTGTTATGCATTTTACATTTTCATGTCTGGGCCAGTTTAGCATTAAAGTTGAATGAAATTCATGAAACGAACTAGTAGTGCCCAATGATACCGTCCCTTGTTATTGTCCATGTTTAGTCGTTGCTGAACAGAAACGTGTGTGTGAATAGCATCTCCCCATGAATGTGCCCTCCGTATACTTATTACAGTTTAATCACTTTGTCTGTGTCACTCTTTCCTACTCATGTATGTTAAAGTCACGGCCGAGCTGGAGCAACACCTCCCCGACACCTTGTCGCTTCGGAGTCTTGCGCCTCGAGACTTTGCTGTTCTTTGTAGTAAAATGTCCTCTCCAAACTGAGACGCAGCTCTAATTAACACCATAGTTTCATGATGGAGTGGGACAGATCTGATCACACGTTCCGTGTGCTCATTTATTCTTCACCTCAGGCAATTGTGATCACACGACGGGTTAAGATCGGGAAGGCTTTGTTTTCGCTGCGTTTGATTCGACTTGTTCTGCTTCCTGCTTTGTTTCACCAACCAAATAGTACTTTCTATTTAGGGCTAATGGGTTGATGCTAACATGCGATCTGCAGCATTGTTCTTGTGCACGGTAACATTTACCTCCACCTGACCTAAACCCGGCCGCACGTAGCCGCTAGCCGGGCTGCAGGTGACGGTGACTCATGAACACAAAAGAGGCGGACAAAGACGTGCAGTTAAAGTTCCAAAATAACCGAACGGAGAGCAGCAGGTTTCAGTGGGATGCAGAGAGGCACTCGTCGACGAGGAGAATAGAAAGACCCTGATTGGGATGATAAAGTGCAGCTTAATAGGGCAGAGACTCTCATGTAGCGGCCTGTTTGTCATGCTGCAAATGACGACTTCAGGGCATTTTGTCCTCGTCAAGGACTAATGTGACCGGACTGAAATCCGACCTGGAAACAAAATGAAAACGCACGTTTTGATAATTCGGGTGAATAGTACGACTCGTACAGACACGCACGTACATGCATCCCAGACACAGAGTTCATCAGCAGTGACCTTATATTGTATCCCACGCACTGTCCCGCCATGTCTCACACACGCAGACACACACGCACACACATGGTCATTTTATTTCAATGACGCTCGTGAGACGCTTCCGTCACTGCTGACTTCAGGAGGGTTGAATAATGGGTTACCGCGGGAGATGAGCCGGTTGCCGTGGCAATATACTCTGCGTACTTGAACCGGGGGTGACGGTGTGAATTCAATATTTAGAGAACGGCCCCCTGTGAGCCTGAAGGACGGGTTCATACTAACCGGCGATCAGAAATAGGCTACTAGATGGGGCTGCTTGCTCTCCCTCTCTCTGCCTCCCACACGGGTGAGGCGGGGGAGTTGCACCTGTGCGTGTGACATTAGCTCCGCTGTCGGGTTTCATGACCTTAGCCGATGATTGTGACCTTTTTAACAACACTTTTACGGGCCTCTCGTGTAATTTCCTCAAATCAACGACCCAGACTT